ATCAAGAACGAAAGATGAAGAACAGCCAAAAGGCAATGATATAGAATCCAAATCTAAAAGAATTTGGAAAATCTACTACATCAACGGAAAAAATGAGAATTTAAAAGTCGCAAATAGTCGACGGAAAAATACAGAATGACCAAGAAAAATTTAATTTCAGACAAGAACATTGTTGAGCTGAATTGCATCAATTTATCAAGTTATTTATTTATCAAGTGTGGACACTGAAATTTCCTTTGAACACATACACAAATTGTGAGTTTTTGGTTATGGAAAAACGGATTTTGGTGAATCAGTGGATTTCAAAAGATTCGTTATAGTAACTAGGTAAAGGAAACGTTTCCAAAACTTGAATGAAGTTGGGGCTTATAATAAAGTAGATGGATTTCAACCACAAATTTTATGGTACTTTCTTGGAAATATATATTAAACTTAAAAAACAATACAAATTGTACACTCACCATTAAGAGATACATTTAGGAACATTTCAGTCAGTCGTTTAGGAACAATCATATAATATTATTATTATATATTATCAAATTACTTTAAAATACATCGAAAAGTATCAAAATTCGAGAAAATTATAAAATCAATAAAGAAAACACTGATGAACGGCTGGCAATCGTGGCACGAAGGCTATCAAAACCGAAAGATGACAAACAGCCAAAAGGCAATTAAGGACAGTGCAAAACCGAAAATATATTGAAAATTTTACGGCATCAACAGAAAATATAAGAATTCAAAGTTCCAGAAGTGTCTACTGCAAAATACGGAATAATCCGAAAAAAAAACAACCGTCAAATCTAATCGCAAACAACAAGAACTTTCTTCAGTGTCAATTACATACATCAGTTTAGGGGGTCGACATCGCAATATATGCTAATATACAAATTTATTGATTGGCAAAGTTTTCCGTCTAGAATTTTATTGTATGTGCGAAAAGTATTTTAGTGCTCTTTAATAAAAGCTTGACAATAAAGTAACCTAATAATGAAAGAAGACATTTACCTACTGAAAATATTTGTCTAAACCGCAAGATTTAAACATGACTTTGCATACGTTAGACACGACTCATATTTAAATAAAATATTGTCGAACAGATTGGCTTCGGAAGAGTGTCTAGATTGTTGACCCATTATCTAAGCAAATAGTATTGGCTGGTTTTCGATATCTGGACGATGTATCACGGCGACGGATTTTCGTGGAAATGATAATCAGTATTAACGCACTTCAGAGATAAATAAATCATGTCCTGTGTTTTCACGTTACTCAAGTTTTCCACTTAAAAATTGTTGGAAGTACAGGCAATACCTGCACTTAGAAAAGGCCACAAGCTAACTTAGATATATGAGGTTGAAAGTCGCAAGTTGTTGATTAGTATACAGCAAACCGTGATAGGAAAACGTCGAAGCCCTATCTCAAAAATCCATAAGATTAAATAATTATCATACGTTAATAAATTTAATAGAACAATCTATTTGTGCTTTATACCCAGGTGAGTCAGTGCGATGAATATATTTATTGAGTGATCGAACAAATAATTAAAACTAATAAAATGGTGGTTGGAGTTTACATTGTAAGTATTTTGAGGTAGGAAACACCAATCAAAGGCATTATTTGGAATATCGTTAATGTATTTATTACATAATAGGTTATAAACTATGTAGTTTATCAGCGGGTTTATGATGTAATCGGTGAGATTGTCGATATTACCAGCGACTGATAGGAGGCAAAATGTTGCTAGCCCTGACTGTTTTCATAACATTTAATTGATTTTCATATGCAGTTTACAAAATTGTAGTTAAACGCAATTGGAAATGGTTTAACGTCAGCGCATTTCCTGTAGTATTCACAAAATATTTGAATATTCTTTTTAGCATACGCCCAAATGGTACAGTTTAATACACCTTGGCCGAATATTGCCGCATATAGCAGCAATAATTTTCAATTCTATAAATCATTAAAATAACCCAAGTAAACTTATTTAGCATTTAGTTTTAAATTAAAATCACAAAATTGACGGAAAGACTGCCTCAGGCCATGCCGAAAATAAATGCTGCACTTTTAATAAATATATTGTTTAGTGAGTGTATAATTAATATACATTAGCAGTTAAAAGCTAAAATTGATTGTCAATTGCACCGGTGAAACGTTATTTAATCTGGTATAACCATATAACTGCAGATTTGTTGCGGTGAATCGAACTCTATTTTCGGTTCATAAAGCTTTAAGCTTAAACTATTTTAATGTTGCCAAATAGGTGTTGATTAGGCGATCAAACTAAAGGCTGTATAATTGGCACTTTCTTTTTAAAAGCTGTAAGGACGAGCTCACAGAAGTTTCATTTTGTAGTTCAACATATACAGTTCTTATTTCTAGTATTACTGTACGTATTCTGACTCGAAACTAAAACATTTACAGGATCCGGCAATAAAACGAGCAGATTTCCCAAATTATTTTATCGTATAAAATTATCTGTAATTTAACTAATTCTGATATTAATAAACGTTAAAGACATGCCATTTGGTATAGAAATAAAAAAAAACGTTATTTTTGGAATTTGACTTCAGACAAATGACCTTCCGAATCATTTATTTAATATTAAATTAAAAAATATTTAATATTTAATATTAAATAAATGATAAATTTTTAGGTTTCCAAGCAGAACAAAAAAGCTAAGATGGTTGTTACCTGGAAAGATAATTTTATATTATCTAATATTTGGCCGACTTTTGGAAGTCCTGAAATATTTGTAATGTCTCAGGTTAGATATTTATAGTTATTTTAGTTGTTAAGCACAGCTCCTGTTAAGCATACTAACAATATTTAAAATTAGCAATAAACGCAAATGTATGCCAAATAGGAACGTTCACAGAACTTTGTTTCCAGACATTTTTAATCAAACATCACACATTTGTGAAAACATTGCTCTTAAATAAATAGTATTTTCCGAACTGACCAATTTTTCAACTGGAATATTTAAGCAATCTGAAAATCGACGAGCAGAAAGTGCAATAACCACCTTGAATTTTTTATCTCTTTAATTTTTCTCTTCTTTAAATTTTATAACGTTTTTTGCTATCTCGTCATTTTTTTTGTTATTTTAAGCAGATGCATGCAAAGGAATGATTTTAATTTGGAATTGTTTCGTTCTTGCTTTAAATACCGATAAATATTTTAAGACCAGAAAATAATAAAGAAACAGTTTAAAATATATACTTATTATGTAGTTATTAGCATCCCGTTTTTTTTTATTTAGGGCTTAGGACCAGTTAGGGTTGCAGAAACAGATCTATGAATTTTGTCTGTAAAATATTAGTCGTTGATCACACTGTTTTTTGCAATAATCTGTTTTAGCAAATAATATAAAACTAATATTTATAGTCGTAAAAATTTTCACTATAATTGCTTTGAACTTAGATTTTAAGTGCCAACATAAAGTAACATTAGATTAATTTATTTTATCAACGTGCAAAAGATACTCAGCTGTGTATACCGAAGATTATAATAATCTTACAATTCATTCACGGAAATTTAACCTAAAGGTGGCATAAAACGTTGATAAATTTCAGTCAATTAACTCTAATTAAATCGGCGAAATCCACCAGAAAACGTTAATAATAATTTTGTCCTATTTAGCTCCTAGCCATTAGTACTAAAAACATTTTTTCCTTCAACAGTGGCAACGTGACAAACAAACTCCAAGCTACTTGTATGTCTTGTTAAGAGTGGCAATATTTTTAACGTTCTTCACCATATGGATATTGAGTTACACAATGGAAAGCTCTTCAAACAAACCAAAATGGCCCCTATATTTAACGAATTGGGGATTAACGGTTTGCACAATACAATCATTTTTATCAAGCTTAATGCTTATATGTGCAATATTAGGAACAAATGTGTTAGATAATTCCGAACTGACCCAGTCGGCTTTGAAAGCATACAAGACTTATTGGATTACTAATTCAATGGCCACTACTATAGCGTTTACGATATCATTTGTGTATTGGACTCTAATACATCAACGTAGGTTCTTAAATATAAATATATTTTATTATATTATTTGACATCCTGATGGGCAACTTGTTTAGTATTAAGTGGCTTTTAATTAAGGTTAGTATTTTATATGCATATAAAAATGGGGGTTCAATAATTAGAACAAATTGTGGCAACCAAAATACATCAGGATTGTAAACGTTTTCTTTGCAATCAAAATTTCAAGTGAACCATTCGTAAATGAACATAAATTCGTTACTGTGTAGTTATGCACCGATGCGAAATTTCTAATGCCGTAATAATAATTAATGTATTTTTTAGCTGAATATTGGAGTATCATGAATTTCATGGTTCACGGCATGAATGCGATTCTGATGATTATCGACTTTTGTGCAGTAGCTCATCCGGTTCGATTCTTACATTTTGTGTATCCAGTTGGACTTGCGTTTGTTTATGTAACAATGACTGCTATATTTTATGCTTGTGGAGGTACAGCTAAGTAAGTACAGTCTGCTCGACAAAACACGAGAAAATTTAATTATTTTACTTTAATACTGTTAAACTAAAAATCACACAAATGATTCGGAGAAAAACGAATAAACATGCAGATTTAACTGAAACATTTAAACATATATCGATAAAAGCACAGTATGCTGATACAGTGTCAATTTTCACTTTTAGAATCGAATAATTGACTAGAAACGTTTTGTACATGCCTCATTCCTGTACAAATTCTGCCTTTTAAATAGACAATGTATCCACATTTTTCATATTGTCATTTACTTAACTTATTAAATTAAAACTTTGCCGCTAATCTTATTTTGTAATTTATATATTAAATTATTGTTGTATTATATATAAAAATTATGTATTTATATATTAAAATAGATATCCTTGTTCTACAAACAATGCCGTTGATTTATGAACGTGAATTGGGAAAGCTGGAAAACCATTAGTTAAATGAAAGCTAAGATTTTATGAATAATTACGAATTAAAAACACAGGTTGAAAAAGTAACACGCATTTTGATAAAAACGACAGAAGCATCGCAAACAACCGAACCAACCAAAATAAATTTAGTTGCAAGTGATGCAATCTCTCTTCCAGATTAACTACATTTGCAGTTGAAAATGGTGTAACTCTTAGCAGGAAAAAATATTTCCTTGCTTTTTCAACCAAACTGTAAATATATTTGTCCAAAACCTTGAGTATTAGGAGTTTGCCTGGAAAAAGTTCAAATTATTTGACTACGAAATGTGGGTAGAAAATTTTAATAGAATATAATCAAACCACTAAAACAGTTTTGTTGGTTTCTCATAACGCCAGTTGATTTTTTTTGATTGAATGTGTATAATTCACCAAAGGTTTGCCATTATTTAAGTTACAAAATCACTGTCTATTTTATATAATGTTTTGGCTATATGTATACGTCTCTGGGTTGAGTTATAACTGCTCAAACCCACCAATGAATAGGTTCGATAAGTGAGTTTAGTTTATTGTTTAAGTCGGAAAATTTAGACTTTCTAGCGCAAACCGCTGTGGAAATATCTGCTATGTGAAAATGGTTGGCAAAGATATCGAAGTCCAATTTTCTTCTCTAAGTTAATTTACTTTCTCGAGTTACTTAAAAAATAATCTCTCGTTACGTATTCTAAAACTTCTTCAAGTTTATTAAAGAATATTGACAAGGAGTCAAAATAACATCGGAAGGTCCCGAATATTGTGGACTTTGTATCTGCAATTGGAAGCGCAAAATATCGGGTAAACTAATTTCTATGGGATTAATATCAAGTATGGGTTTCAAAATTTCTTCGATATTATCATGTCCTGCCCAAATTAGCCCTGCGCAAATTATCAAAGTAAATGCTTATATTGCGACATTATTAACAATTCTCATTTTAGAAATATTATCAATGATTTTATCACTTTTTTTACTCACATGTTACTTTTTTATATCACTTTCAAAATTCCAAAAAAATAGCTCTCCTTCTGCTCCCAATTTTATTCGGTCTCAAACTAAAGCAATGCTCACTAATAAAAGGGGAATTTAGCAGCCCTTTTACACGTTTAAGAAAGCTTATATAAAATAGTCAGTAGTTAAGTAATCGATGCACAACTCCCAATAAATCCAGACCAGCTTTTCTTTAAAGAAAGACAAAAAAGAAGCTTCTCTAAGAAGATTTAGATTACTTATTTTTAGCATGGCAAATGGAAATTTGACTATTATTTTCCGTCCTCCTAAGCTTGAGATTATAATTTGCCGACTAAATAATACTCTTAGCAGACTAATAATCGCTGGTTAATGGTATATACATGTTTTATAAGACCGAGCCAAACATAGAATGCATATCATTTATTAGCTCAGTAGTTTCAACATATTTATATAATATATTAATCACAGGCATTAATTTTTTTTGTAAAAATATATCATATTTGATTTTCAGATTTTCAATGCTAACACATTAGTTTTAAATATAAGTTCACTTGAATTATTTCCCAGCTAATATTTTATATTTTCTTATTTAATTTGTTGAAAAAACCTTCTATAGTAATAAATATTTTCAATCAAACCATATAGGTTCACTAATGTATATTTTATTGTTTCAGGAATGGAGACCAATTCATTTATCCCATATTAAAGTGGAGCACGCCCGGCATAACAGTAGCATATTGCATAGCAATTATGATCCTAATTTTTTTTATACACACCCTGACTTTCTTTCTGTATAAGGGAAAAGTCAAAATTGCAGAACTGTGTTTCGGAGAACCCGAGTCAGACTCATTTTCTGATACGGCGATGCAAATGTTGTAACCAAAGTTTCTTTGCACGATTTGAGAAGATGACTCAGACTGAAGCCTGCCTATTGCTAAAAACGTGAAGTATAAATATACAGAGTGAAATTATCAATGCAAACAGTATCAATGCCTAGCACACAGCGTGTTCGATTTAAAAAAAAATTCTATACTTTGTGCCTTAAGTTGTATATATTTTCGAAGCCACCTTAACTACAATTTACATTAAAAAATATTTTTGCTGCAGTTTTTTAATTGTTTTGTTGACTGCAGAGATATGTTTCATTCTGTATGTGTGTCTGAGAATTATATGGGATAGGAAACACAGAACTAATGACAAACATGCACCGTCCTCGAATGTAAATGTTAAATAAATTTTTATAAAAATATTTGTATTTGTCTTCATGCCGAAACTTATATTATTTTGTAGGCTCACGCTTCAAAGTTAAGTTATTTTGAGGAACGTAATACGTTGTTCGCAAACTTCTTTGACATAATTTACCGTTTAAATCTTCAAAAGTCTGATCCAATTCAGTTTACGGCCTAGCTAAAAACGCTTCCAAACCCCTTTTAAATTGTGGGCAACAAACATTCTTTTACTCGTGTAATTACGCCTACAATATTAATCACTTCTTGATTGAATATTTATTGATTATGTATTTTTTTCAAAAGCACTCATGAAAAATCATTTAATTTATATAATTCGAATCATAAATAATAAATTTTTCAATTCTCGGCTCAGGCCTTCAGAGCGAACTTTTCCATAGCAAACAATGAATTTGTTTTTTTGGTCCTATCAAAAAGGCACTTTGTACTAGTCACGGTTTTAACTGTTTCTCAAATATACATTTCGCGTCTTGATCAGTCTCAATTTTTAGAACCTAGAACTGGCTTAACATGAATAATTAAAAATATGCTAGTGGCAGATTTATCGCCAAAAACGTTGGTGTTCACAAACAGTACAAGTAAAAGAACTAATGATACCAACATTATTAAGAATAACGTCTGCATCATTATTGTTGCTTGTCTTTACAAGGAAATCATTGAATGCCACATTATTTCACTACTTATCAATCAAGAAAATTGACGCTTTTGGAAATGGTATGATAAACTTGCCTAATTAATTCTGCAAATTGGCTCTGTTGGGCTCACCTGAAAAAAATAAAGTATGATTAATGTCAGAATAGTACAAAAAACCTAGTAATTTGACGGAAAATATCATTGTTGCATTAATAATTCTTAACAAATGCTCCAATGGAATAATCAATGGCATCCTGTTAGCAATTCGATAATAGAAATAATTTAGCTGCAAACGATTTATGGATTTCTGTATAATACCTACAGAATATTGCATTTGCGGCAGCTCAATAGTTAATCCTATTGAGATGGCCGTTGTGGAGACAATTAATCGTGTTGTAACTCGACAATCTATATTTCCATTTGAGCATTCAAGTCTAATTAAACGGTTTTCGCAATTAGCTACAAAGAACAAATTATTACCAACTTAAATGCCATGGAAATCAGGATTGATTTACAGTCGCAATTCTGCAAGGAAGGGATTGAAAGCATGTCGTCAATAAAAACCTATACTTTACGTAAATTGCAAAACCTGGCAGGCTAAATTGATTTTTTTATTCTCTTTTTTCATATAATGTAATAAAGGAAATTAGGAAAAAAATCTGCTATATAATATTTATTGTGCAAATTGAGAAAAACTTAAACAAACCAAACACAAATCATTTAAAAGTATGGACAATATTGTAGGTAATGGCTTTAAACTTTTTACACTTCATCTATAGCCGCAATTGATTCCAAGTGATGCGGAAAGAAGATTAAACCAGATCACCTGATTAATGGGGCAAACCGATGCACTTTTTAATAGCATTTCGGGGTCTGATGCATTTCCATTTACACATGTCTGCATTTGGATGCAAAAAATCAATATACGCTACCAAATCGTTGGATTCTTAATTATGAATTAATTTGTAACATAGACGCAACTATAAGCACTTTGCTATTTCAACTAAGTTTCGGTCTTCTTCCAGAAAAAAAAAATCGAAATTTACAAAAATTTTACGTAATCATAAAAATGACCCTTCATTCTGTTAAAGCTTACACTAATCTTCTGAAATAATTTATAAGAACTACACAAACATGAAAATAATGAAAACCAGGAAGGTAAGCAAGTCAATTTTTCATGTCACAGTTCACAATGCATATATTTTTTTATTTTTTTTATTATCTCCCAGTAATATTACAAACTTCCCGCAGGTATTCAGAAATTTTGTTTGACATACAATTTAAAAAAACTGACATACAATTCAACATGTAGGGTATTGGCCATCCAAATCCCCTATTTTAAATCAATTAATTAATTAATTGTTTTTGACTACTGGGTTTTCAAATCGTTTTACGTTTTTTAATGCATATTTGAGGAAAAAATAAACGAAAATGGCTTACAAAAGCATACATTTCCATTCTTCCAGTAATCAATTTGTTATAAACTGTGGAAAATGTTGTACGAGAAACGTTACATTTTCAGTATGATGTTTTCAGCTGATTCGATAATTGATAAGATACTTATCATTATAGGAAAAATTTAATGACTCGATGGTAACGTTTTAAGCCGACCACAAACAATATCACTAATATGAAAGAATAATTTTTATTCAGAAAGAATATATACAATAATTGCCAGTACAATTGCAAAATATTACAACTATGCAGAAAAAAACATAGTTGGACAACTATGTCCACAACTTGTAACACACATTAAGTTTGTTTTGTCAACTTGTAACACACATTAAGTTTGTTTTAAAGCTTTACATATTTACATTCTGCTCCAGATTATAGAATTACATAAAACCTGAAATCATTCTTGTTAGTGCGTTGAGTTCTGTTTGAAAACTTTTTAAAGTTCCTTTAGTTGGTACAATTTTCGCATTAGAAAAACAAACTATATGTACCAAAATATTAGCTAATAACGCGGAGTTTAAAATCAAACATTAAAATAGCTGTAAAGGTCTAAATGTGAATTTAATGCAAAATAGTAAGTATCTGCCTATTAATCTTCTTTAAATGTTTAACAAAGAACTCAGAAATGTTTTCTTGTAGCAGCTGATTCTGCTAAACATTAAACTAACCCAAATTTCTCAATCGCAAGTAAAATTTCTAGCTAAAGTTTCAAGCTCGACTCTTTTTCGGTGTTAACCCGAAATTAGAATTTAAATGCTAGGTGACCTTTGAAACAATTCGCAAATGCCACTTTCTGAGAATTCTGAGAATGGATGTGAAATAAGTGAAGCGTCTTTCTACGATTGTTGTTAAAACTACAAATGCAAGAGATAAAGTTCATCTCATTATCATTTAATTTTTTATTTGTGGTATGACAGTATCATGAACAACCCATATTGTACCATACAACACGTAGTGGCAAAGAAAGTCAGGAGAATATCCAGGTAGGAAAGTTAGTTAATAAGGACTAACTAAGGAAGGAAAACAGAATACATTCAACAGCAACGAACAAATTTTTTTCTTTAAGGTAAAAGAACATCGTGGATTTCAAGAGAGTAGCGAAAAATTTATGAGTTCTTACGAGCAAATTGTAAGGAAATTTGAAGTTGCTCAATTACAAAATTTCCAGGAATTTTTTTTATATTAATTTATTATTTGCAAAAAAATTGTCGGTTTTTGAATGCGTAAAATGGAGCTCATCAAACTGAGTCGAACTAAAAAGCAGTCTGTCAAGTAAAATCATTAAAATCCATAGCTAAATCAGCTTTTCATTGCATTTAATTTTGAAACTGCAACCAACATTTATCATTAACTACACGCAGCTATTAACTATGGTTCATTACTGCTTGATCCTAATAATTTGCAAATATTGCCGCTTCTAATATAAAATTTCACAATTCAAATTAAGTTTTAAGCCACGCGATCACCCTTTAATTTAAAGTCTAGCCAGGTGCGTGTTGTAAATCTTTAATTTTGTGCTTCTTTGCTCTATGTATAAATAAAGTATGCAAATATGAGCTGACCTACTTTTCATATTAAATTTTCAAGTAACGTACAGTCATTGTTCTGCACTATGTAAAAACTATCTCCCTCCCATTAATACTTCCTTGAGTAAAAATTGTCTTTAAGGCTTTCGGAGCCAACAAAGGTTAATAGGAATGTTGTTTAGAGTGTATAAAAGTTAAAGTGTTGAAGCACATTGGAAAGTGAAAAAAATAGTTGGTGAAAATTATGATAAAGAGTTAATACAAACGAAAATAAAACGGGGTTCCATTTTTAATTTAAAAATATGAAATGAAACGATGTGGTATTACCAGACATTATATGCTTTTTCACTACATCTAAGATCTCTTCAGAGTTTTACTACATCTAAGAAAAAAATGTAAAACTGAATTTTTCTTGATTTGTTTTATCTAGGTGATTTGTACTGTCTTTTTTTGTTAAATTTCGGTCTGCTTTCGATCAATTTAATTATTTTATTTTGGCCTTGATTGCCAGCGATTGACTAAATGTTCTAAAGTGCATTTTGTGTAGCTATGACTCTATATTTAATCTACATTATTTGAAACCTTCTAATCTGATTAAGTCAGCAACATTTCATTTAATTTAGTTTAACCGACAAATTCAGCAGAAAACAGTCCGCTTAAACTTCAAAATAACAACGTTCATTTCCTGTGTGCCCAAAAATGACGATTCGTAATAACTTTTCAAAGAAATTCCGAATAACGCTTTAACTGAATTAAGCAATTTAAAGCAGTAAAAATACATGAAAATTGAAACCCACTTGGCGTGCCGAAAATTGTAATAATAACGAACGGGAAGCACAAAAGTAGGTATCACATTTAATTATCCGTTTCTCGTTAATTTCAAGAGGGGAGTTTATGTTAATAAACCCCATTTAGCAGAGCGTGAAGGAATTGGCGTCAACGCAGGCTTAAAATTTGTTTCCAACTTCCTTTCCCTTATCTCTCCATTGAAAATCCGATTCTTGATTAAAATGCAAATTGGCTGCGGAACTAATGTGCATATGAAGCGACGACAACCAATTATTAGTGTGCAAATCGGGCGATTGAAATCAGCTGAAAAATGCAAATTCTGATGGGGGCTCTTAAATGTTTCTTTGAACGATTTTAAATCCGCTTCCATTCGTGATTTTTTTCTTTGCTAAAATGTTTAATTCCACTGCATTGAATGGCTGAAATGCAAGAAAATAAAATACGATTACATCGTTTTGTGCATCAGCTTCAGAATTGATTTTCAACTCCAACTAGAAGGCGGATCGAACGAAAAATGTGAACAGCTTTCATTTGGAACAATGTCTAGAAAAAGCTTTGGACTTATCTTGCTTTTCAGGATTGCAAAGAGTAGACGCGCA